ATTCCTCTATAGGCATGTTAAAAATCCAGGATTTACCTTTAGCCTGTGGTTAAAATGGTATCAATTTACTTAAGTTGAATATTTTTATTAATGAAGTTACTGGTTTGTGACATACAACCTATTTGACAGGTCACCACAGTGGACTGTGATTGTTTCTAATCAACTCTCATTGATGGACAGTTGGACTACACCAAAAATCTGTTCTTGAACATAAGCTCTAGTCTCATACGCAAAGCATGCAGCATTTATCAACTTTTTAATTATTTTAAATAATTCTTTCTATAAGGGAAACCAGCATTATTCTTATTATACCATAACATGCACAAAACTTGTAGAAGTGTCCTGATATCAATCTTAGTAGTTTATATACTATGGACTAATATCTATGTTTCTATATGATAAGGCTGATCATAAAATATTACAAAAAATTAAGATTTCAGAATTCTTATATTCCATTCAAAACATAGATATTAACCATAACAAAAAACACAATTATGTTAAATAAAATTTAGTGAAGTTAAGGGAACCAGAAATCTATAGTTAAAGTGAGAAACTTTGAAACTCTTCAAGTGAATGAGGAGACCTACTAGAAGTTGAAAATCTTTGAAAACTCTTCTGGCAAAAGAAAGAAGAAAACATGTTAAGTCCTAATAGTCTCCTCTAAGCAAGCAATAAGGTCTGAGAACCTAAAATAGGATTATTTTCAATGATGACATTAAGAATAGGTAAAAATTTTCTAGTTAAAAACATAAAATTGTATTATATTCCTTTTCCCCCTAGAAAGCAGCCCCATTTATTTTCTGCCATTGGAAACATGCTTTCCAGATCCTTTATATCAGCAGTCACTCATTAATTCAATATTTTATTAGTCTCATGTCTGCTGTGAATAAACATAGAATATGGGAAACTTTTGGTCCCAAGATTATAGTTTTTTCAGAATTTCAGCGAAGTGCTGTAATCAATCTAAGCAAATTCCTCAAATCAATCTTAAACAAAGCTCAAAAATAAGTATATTGATGTATTTGGCTCACTGTATTGAGCCAATAGTGATCTTTTTTTCCCCTCTAAAGCCAACAACTAACAATACAGGATATCCCCAAAAATGTATGTACAGTTTGAATAATTATAAAAATAGTGTTTATTAAAATACATTTCATTTTCAAAATGTAATAGAATCGGCTGTTAAAGTGTATAACATTTTCTGGGACACTACATATTTAAAACAGTATTTTAATTATATGCTAGAAATCTTACATTATTATTTCCTAACAATAGTAAGTAGTTTTTTTATATATTTTTCATCTTTTTGTTAATATAATAAGGATAATAATGGAAATGAATGAGGCCAAAATTAAAGCTAATTTAATAAGGAAAAGAAAATATTTCTTATTAATCAATCAGTATTTTTCAGATTCCATTGCATGCAAAGCAGTTTATATAGAAAAACTTTCAATGATGCATCATTAATATATATTTTTTAAACTATGATTATACAGAAAATTTGAAGACCTCATTTCTCTTAACTATGTAACATTTCTATTAATAAACACATATTTTCTTTTGGATTTTGTCTCAAGCATGTTAAGTTAATGGTGTCTTTCCTCTATTATTTTTTATATCATCCCATGTCATTTCTCAATGGTTACTAAAATAGACATGCTCCTGTAAGTTTTCTGAGTGGCAGTAAGCATACTTAATACCCAGTGAAAATTAGAGGGTCCTGCAGAGAAGTGTCTGGCAATCAACCTTCATAGTCATTAAAAAATAATCTAAAAAGTAAAACAAGCCAATGTACGTTTAGGAAAAAAAATAACCAATAAAAAGGCTCACTTTGACAATTGTACAAAAGTAAAAACCTTTAGTAAGAAATAATTTATAAATTTTAGAAAAATAGCTTTTAAAGTTAGTAAATTCTATAGGATGTGTATAGTGTGATGTGCCGAGAAAATATTTAAACAAGAGGAAGTAAGTAGATAAAATTTCAATTAAATGTGAAGTAGGACTGAGTTGTAGGGGAGGTAGTGGAAAATATCAAGTTTTCTTGTGTCATAGGAGTGGTACAATCTAAATTCTATAGTATAACAATAAGGTAGGATATTTTAGGGCTAAAATTATTGGAGAAGGCTTTTTTTTTTTCTTAAAGAGGTGATATTTGACTGGGGCCTGAACAGTTTGGTAGACATTTGATATAAGAGAATGGGGCTGCAGTGGGTAGTAATAATATAGCAAAGGCAAAGAGCCGAGGGCAGGTTGATTTGTACAAAAGACCACCTGGTTAATGTTAGAAAAGAAGAACATGGAGGGTGGAGGTCAGGAATTGAAGAAATGCTTCACAAGGAAAAATTTCTTATGCATGCATGGCTATTTTTGCATTCCGATAAGACATAAATCACAGTTGCAACAGGTAGACTGCATGGAAGAAAAACTGACTATAAAAGAAAAATTGCTGACAAACTTAAGAGGAATCTTAGAGCTCACTGACCTGCAACATTTTGCTTTGCTTCCAAACTGTCTTACCTCCCAAGGCTACTCATAATCATTTGTTTCAATTCACTTTGGTCAAGGCATTCTGTTCTCAGAATAAGAACAAACTTTTCCTGCTTCTGCATTTGCTATAATATAACAATTTACCCAACAAGTCAGAGCAAATTGTGCTTAGATTGCACAACTTACAAGCAACCTCAATTTATATGTATGCATCTGTTTGCTCTATCCTACAAACATAAAAATCCTTGAAGTCAGAAACCACGCAATGTAATTTTTCATGCCACAGGGTTTTATGTTTTCTTAAGCTAGCCTACAAAAACAAAATCCAACTCACAAAATAAGGCTAAATTCATATTTGTTGAATAAATGTGTTTCAGTATTGATACTTTTTTCACTCCCTTCATGTTTTTCATATTTCTCTTTATCCTTATGAGGCAATCCTTATATTGAACCCAACTTTTATGCTTACCTTCTAGCTCTTAGAAAATAAAATGATTAAAACGTAGCTAGTCTCATCCATTAATGCTTTCACCATAAAGGTAAAAAGAAGCATCAGGGTATCTAGATATGAGCCTAATAATGATGGACAAAGGAAGAAATTCAAATGTCTTTCTGATTTGCCTACTTGAATTAGAATGCAATATGAAGTTGGAGGAGGGAAATTGAGCTGCACTCAAATCGTCTTATACTACCTGATCTGTTTAATTCCACACTGTAGGTGCTGCGGAAGACTGGGTAAAAATAAAAATAATGTGTGTATTTTTTTTAGTAGGCTGTATTTTATTTTATTTTTAAACTATATTTTTATTGATTTCAGAGAGGAAGGGAGAGGGAGAGATAGAAACATTAATGATGAGAGAGAATCATTGATTGGCTGACTCCTGCACACCCCACACTGGGGATCCATTGAGCCCGCAACCTGGGTATATGCCCTGATTGGGAATCAAAACATGACTTCCTGGTTCATAGGTCAATGCCCAACCACTGAGCCACACTGGCTAGGCAGTTAGACTGTACTTTAATTTAACAGGATGGTTTGGTATTCTGTAACAGCTATGAATATTTACTTTAAACTCACAATTTCAATTTTATTTAATCCACCTGAATACAAATGGAATTCTTCTCTTAAATAACTGTTCAAAAGGTTAATTTCCTTTTTTAAAAAAGTAAACCTTCTAGAATACGGATTTGATCTGTTGTTGGAGCACTTTTAAGCCCAATTAGCTGTTACAACAACCAAAGCACGGCACTGTGACAAAGGGCTTCAGAGACTTGGATTCTATGTTTTACTCATAATTATATTCAAGTACCTTATTTGCCAATTCCCTCCCCCACTCCAACAACCTTTAGGTCTCATGAAATAACTTGGAAGGCAGAAGCCTCTTTTAGAGTAGAAATCCACTTAAAATGGCTAGGACTAGGTGGATAAGGCTAGGGAAGTCCTCTCCTTAGGCACAAAATATAAGAGCGTGCCCCAAAACTAGTAATGAAGATAAATATTTAATACACTAGTTTAAAGATGTAAATTAACGTAAAAATCCATGATGGACAAAATATCAAAATTTAAATAATGACAGGATCCTACCCTGCATTTGTATGGCTTACCTCAATCACTTCACTTAAATCTCCTGAGTTTGGGGCGCATTCTTAATTTTGCGCCAGAGGTGAGTGCCTTAAACACTTAATCCTAGTCCAGAATTGAGTCCTAAACACTTTCATATGTGGGCCTTTCTTTGGATTCGAAATACATTGCATCAGCACCTTTCCTGTGGATGAACCTCTGTTATTACAAACCTCACGTGGGATCCTGTTGAATTCTTGGTGGACTCCCACCAAGTGGGATAATAGTACTTTTCAGGTGTTCCTGCTTTCAGCCACCTCCTGCTCTTCTAGCTCCCAGTTTTGTTGCTACTCTCCCCCGGCAGGAGACAGGCCATTTTGGCACTTTCCTTGCGCCCGGGGCCACAATTCTGCTTTGGCGGAAAGTGCTCACAACCAGAGAAACAGCTTCACTCTTTTGTACTTTCTGAATGAGCGCTCAGGTCACCTCCATTCTCCAGCCAAAGGTAGAGTGGAAAGACTGGAGCCTACACTCAACCAGTTGTCAAAAGCACCTCCCAAACCCCGCCCCGGGAAGAAGTAAAAGTGGCGGTTTGGGAGACTGTGGAGAAAACAACTGCAGTGACTTTCTCCTGTCATTACAACATAAAAGAGGGAAAAAATGATCAAGACAGCTCCGGCTTTCCCACTGGTTTTATGCTTGAGCACTTTGCGTCTTCCAAGTCCACGCGCTCCTCTACCCCACCAGCGGTCGGAGCTGGCAGCACGCGAGGGCTCAGGGCAGGTCCGTGGACCACGCCTCCTGGGCTGGTCACCTCCCTTTATTGGCCTGACAGCCTGTCACTCTAACTGGCTCCCACTCCAGCTAACCATTCACGTAGTTCAGTTTGGTCTTGGTGTGTTTAATGTTGCCAATAACGAGAGATATTTTTTTTGGGTGGGGGGGGGGCGGGGGGAAGGAGGCGAGGCGAGTACAGGTCGTGCTGCAATTAGTTCATTGAAAACTCAGTTGCTCTCGGAGCGGTCGAGCGGAGACTGCCTTCAGCTTTTTTTCTGCTGACTGTTAAAATCTCCTGTAGAGAGCTGCAACAATGCCCAAAAGAAAGGTAAGTTAAATGGAAAGATATAAGGTGGGTTAGCTACTGAAATACATATTTCCTAATTGACAGAGATTTAAAAAAAAAAGATTTCGGCTTCTAGTTCAATTTTGTGATGTACTGAATGGAAGGGGAGGGAAGGGCAAAGAATGGTCGGTGTAAGGTTTAGGCTCGTCTCGCATGCAACTAGTAGTTCACTTTTGACTTGTTTTGTTTAAGGGAAAGAATCGCTGAAGAAGTGTCTCCATGCTGAATTACAAACAGCCATAGCGCTGTGCTGTCGCTTCCTACCCCACCCCCCTTCCTCCGCTTACCCTATTGGAGAACGCTTCTCCCAACCATGCTTCCAGGCACCAGTGTCCTCCTCAGCCTCCGGCTTTTCTCAGGGAACCGTCCCGCGTGGGAGTACGAAAGCCATGGCTTTCTCCCATATTTGCCTTTGTTCTTCCCGTTTTCTTTTTCCATTTTTCCCCTTCCCTCCTCCACTTCTTGTCATGCCAGATGGCTATGCAATGGTAATCCTGTGCCATTAGGCGGCGCAGACTTCAAACTGTCCTAGAGAAGAGAGAGATTCACACTGTAATTAGCAACTTCAGGGCTGAGAGATCTGGAGCTCTCCAAGCTCTCTCTAAAGGTGGAAAGATAAGAGAACAGCATCAGATAAACAGCTGTAGATGTTGGGATAGCATGGATTTGTTCGCTTTAATCATGCAGGATTGATCTGAGCTACTCAAAGGCTACAGGTCTCCTGAAAACCCTCACTTCAAAATTCGTGGCTCCTCTCTTGGACATGAAAAAATGTATGCTTGGTATTTGTTCGTTTGGGGAGGAGAGGTCCCTTAAAAGTGAAATTGAACGCAGTTTCATGCTTGATAAAATTGTAAAACACTGTCCTAACATAAGGCACTCTGATTTTTTGATATTATTTCTATTTATCCATCTGTCTTCCCTGTTTTTATAACCTAGGAATAAAAATCGAAATTCCCCGGAGCTCCGGGACTGTGGTATGAATCTTGTAATAGCTTGATAATTCCCAGGCTAGAGCGCTGCTCAGGCACAAGAAGCAATGGTTTCTAACCACCATCCCCCTTTCTGAGATCCCCGCCGCCGCACTTTTCTAGGCCTGTGCCATGGGTCTTGCTATTTTACAGAGCTGACAGCAACCTTGTCTAGCAGGTAGTGGCGGGAAGTTTTAAAAATACGGCTGGCTCCTCAGAATAACGCATTGACGTTGTAACAAAGAGGGGGGCCCCCTCCAAAGCATTGTGGGGGTTGTAGTTCTTGTGTGCAGAACTTGGAAGGGAGGATAATCCAGAGTCCTACAGAGGTTCAGATAAGTACAATTGCATCTCAAACATAAGGCAAAACAGGGAAATTGCATGAAGCTTCATCTTCATTCTGCCCGCCCCCACACTTTTTTTGGCTTTAACACTGGCTACAGCAGGTGGATATTAAAATTTTAAATGTTTGTTTCTTAGGAGATAAAATATACACAAAAGATGAAATTGATTATCATTTGTGTAAACTTGAGTCTTGTGAATGCGTTTGCATCTTGGTGCACATTTGCACATTAATGCACAGAAGTATGTAGCATGCTACTAGGAAATAACACGCAGCTACTTGAGCGGAAATCCAGGAAAAAATCATAGCGGTTATGTTGCAACTGTAATCCATAGGCAATGTTTTCTCATCTACATGTTTATATCAATGACCTTATTTCTGTATGGTTTTCTCCTCTATAGGCTGCAGGTCGAGGTGATATGAGGCAGGAGGTGAGTTTCTTTAGTTTTAGAATCTCAAAAAAATACACTCATTTTGAAACTTGAGGCTCATAAGCAGCTAACAAAATAGATGCTGGTTAGTATATTTTATCACATGAGTACATAAGGAATGTCAGTGAGCTCCCTCAAAAATATAGTAGGTATTGAAAACTACAACCTTCTTGAGATTTACAACATTATTGTGCTTGTTAATATCTGGAGGGAGTTTCTTCCTTTTAAGCAAAAGAACTGCTTTGTCAGTTTACAAGAAGGGGCTATATTGTCATTTAAAAAATATATATTTTATTGATTTTTCACAGAGAGGAAAGGAGAGGGATAGAGAGTTAGAAATATCATTGAGAGAGAAACATCGATCAGCTGCCTCCTGCACACCTCCTACTGGGGATGTGCCTGCAACCAAGGTACATGCCCTTGACCTGAATCGAACCTGGGACCTTTCAGTCCGCAGGCCGACGCTCTCTATCCACTGAGCCAAACCGGTTAGGGCATATATTGTCATTTCTAAATATGCTCCTTGTTGCTAGTGATTGTGTTCATTTAGCCTAGCAATTGAAGTTTCATTTGAGATTCTTTTCCCCCTTAGCTATGTGAAGAGTCTAGAGGAGGGAGAAATAAAAACATATATTTCTACTATGACATTTTATAATCAACTTCATAACTGCTTCTGTAATGACAATATTTATGCATTTTCTCTGCAATATAAAAAATTCTAATTTTGTGTATCCATAATTCTCTTAACTGATATTTTTTTCACTCATAGCCAAAGAGACGATCAGCCAGACTGTCTGCTGTAAGTAGTCTTTTTCAAAAGCTGCCCACGTATTATAAAATGTAATTTTAAAATTCAGGCAATCCTGGACAATACTATATTTAATACAAGATTTATTTTTAATATTTTAAGAAAAAACTCTCACATTAAGGAATTTTCCCTAGTGTTCAGTTTGAACTCTCCCCATTTATTTTAATTAAGAAATTGAATTTTATTATTAGTGATCATTCTTTAATTTTGATTTCTTCCATCCCCCCCCAAGCCCCAGCCCATGACTTGTTTTTTGTGTTGTTTTTTTCTGCAGATGCCTGTGCCCATTTTACCAGAGTTGAAGCCAAAAAGAACATCAACTCCAAGGGTAAATATTCAACATGCAATGTTGAGAAAAAAATTGCTTTTCTTCAGAAATAAATTTTTGGAAAAGCATGCAGTTGATCATTTTGTTTTCTGTTCAGTTAATAATATATTACATTATACCATATGGTACATGTAATCACTTTGAGTAAGGAATATTTGTTCATGTTCTGTGAATGTGATTGTCCACTGTGTTTGGGCAGTTTAATTAGGAAAAGACAAAACAAAATTTTAGTTTGGTAGACTCATAAAATGTACATACCTTTGACATCATATAGTTACAATACCTTTATTCCTGGAAAAACAAAGGTGTAAACTATAGTAACCAAGGTAATGCTTTTTTAATTGTTGTAGTAACTAATACTTGATAATAATTTTCAGTTTGCAAAGTGTTTTCACATACCTTACTTTTAAATAGACACAGTTGGTTTAATATAGGCTTCTATACCCTGATGTTGTGGCTAAAGACACTGGAAACAAGAATAACCTCAATATTAAGCTCACTTTTCTCCCTTTTACTTATATGTGTTTATCTGTAAATGTGTGAATATAGTTCAATTTTATTTACTTTGTTAACTGCTTTATTGAGGTATCATTGATTATTTAAAGATTGGTTGAATTCTTAAAATAATAAAAGTTTAAGGCTATGAGAATATTAGAGTCATGTAATCTCATTGTTTTGTAGTTGAAGAAAGTGTATTGTAGTCATATTTGTAAAATGCTTTGATATTATTGATTTAAAATATTGTTAAAACTAAAGCAAGTGAAGTTTTAGTAATAACAGTGACAATAGAAGAGAAATTTGCTTTTCTTTTTTTTTCTATTTCACATTTCAAGGTCTAAAATTAGGTACTTAATTTATAAATTATGAAAATAGCTAATACTGTTTATTTCCTTTAAAAAATATAAGATATTTCTAGAATAAAACAAGTACCATTTAATCATGGACTTTAAAATACTTTACACTCCTTGGCTCTCGATTTCAATGTTAAAATAGTAAAATCCCTGTCTATATTGTATTTTACAGTTTCTAAAACAATTTCACATACATTTTATCATTTTCTCCTTATAACATCCCTATGAGGTAGGTGGCATGACTTTATTTTACATATGAATAAGCTTAGAGATCTATGCTTTTGCCCAAGGTCACATCAAGTAAGTAGCAGATTCAGAATTCAAACACAGATTTTTCTGGCCCCTTTACCCAGTGTTCTTTCTACTACATACATACTTAGGCAAAGAGTTTTCTTGGTAAAGCAATCATGATTTAAGTTATTCTAAAAACTTATAGACACAAAAATTGAATCCCCTTTGTCCCCCGATGATCACTTTCAAATATGTCTAAATTGATAATCTCACTAGTGTTTCTACATATAACCTGATGCTGAAGTTGGCCCTGAGTATTTAGCATTCTAACTTGTTTTGCATCGAGAAGAAAATTTATTTGATTTATACCAGAAGAACATTATTAATTTTTTATATATATAAAGGGATTTATTTTTTAAAATTTTTCAATTATAGTTGACATTGTATATTATATTAGTTTCATGTATATAGCTTAGTAGTTAGATATTTATATAATTTATGAAGTGATTTCCCCCATTAAGCCTAGTACCCACCTGCTAGCATACATAGTTATTTTAATATTATTGACTATATTCTCTATGCTGTACTTTACATTACCATTAATGTTTTGTACTTCGTAATCCCTTCACCTTTTTCACTCAGCCCCCCAATCCCTCTTTTTTGATACTGCATCAGTTTACAATGAAAGTGAATGTATCTAGTGATAATTGTGTTGATAAAAAGTTTGTATGGGTATTTTAAACATTTTTCATAAATTATTACAACAACTGGTAGAATAACTTGGACCATTTAATCAATACACCAGTTAAATTTTATATTTATTTTTAATGTTGTGTGTTGCTGGACAGAAAATGAAAAAAGATGATATGATGGGGGAAAATGCAGATACAAGTGCCCCAACAATAGCTGAAACCAAGCAAGAAGTTATTAAAGAAGAATACAATGAAAATGCTGAAAATGGAGAAGGCAAAATTATAGAGGTATCTTACAATATTGACAGATTTGTCCATTTAAAAGTTTAACAATAAGTATGACGGAAAGAAATCTTATTTGCCCTGTAGTTTAAAAGAAAATGTTGAAACACATTAATTGAGTAGTGGTTCTATACAATCATAATCTGTTCAGGTTGCTATAACAAAATACCACAAGCTGGGTGGTTTATAAACAACAGAAATTTGTTTTTCACAGTCTGGAAGCTGGAAAGTTCAAGATCAAAGCTACAGCATTTTTGGTGTCTGGTGAGACCTGCTTCCTGATTTTTAGGTGGCAGTCTTCTATGTCCTAACATGATAGAAGGGATCATCAGATAGCTCTCTAGGGACTCTTTTATATGGACACTGATTCCATTCATGAGGGCTCTACCAGTATAACCTAATCACCTTTCATAAGACCCACCTCCAAATACCATCACATGGGGGATTAGATTTTTATCATATGAATTTGGGGGGATACAAACAATCTATAGCAAATAGTATAATGGCATCTAAGGGGAAAATAAAGAAAATGAATTTAAATGTGAGATTTACAGGCATGGATAGTGGGAGCAGTGGCTTAGCATTGATATTAATAGAACAATGCCAATGATCATGATTCAGTAATATAACAACTCTCTTATTAAATGCAAGCTAATTTTCTATTCCTTTTGTCAGCACATGCATTATTTGTAAATCATTTTCCCAGATCATAATTCTTTGCTCCCCTGCAGATTGCAAGACAAATTATTATGTAAATGTTTCTAATAGCTCTTGTGTTGCATATTTAATGCATACCACATTTTTAGATATTAGTAAGACTTTGAAAATGGAATAAAGTACCAAATCTACAAACAAAACCTAGACATCGAGGGAACATATTTTTATAAGTGACCCTATGATATAAGGTAAAAAAATCTAAATCGCACCATTATAGAAACAAAACATATTATTTCTTTAAGGAATGTATTTCTGTTTACATGTATGCTACTCATTGAGAATAGCTGATAAAAATATGTTATTTTCAATATGTATTCTTTTTGTTTATATTTTAATGAAAATTATTTATTTGAATAATTTTTTTCCTAAAGTTATATGGCAAATGTCTGTTTGTATATTTTTGTGTGGAGATATTTTAGTTAATCCTATTTCTTAGAACGTTTTCCTTGTAGTGAGATATTTAGGAGGCCTTTTCACAGAAAAATTACCTTTTTGTAAATGAAGTGTTATTATTTTCATAAAATATACATAAGTTTATCTAAATATTTAGGGGAAACAATTCTAAATTTACAAATGTAATCGTGAGTATTTTCTCTTACACATATAGGCACCAGCTCCTGAAAAAGAGCCTGAGGAAATAAAAGAAAAAAAAATGGAAGCTGTTGAAAAAGAAGGATCAGAAAAGAAAGAAGCAGTGCCATTGGAAGAAAAGAAAAACGAAAAAGAAGATCAAAAAGGAGATGGAAAAGACCAAAACAAGGAAGAAGAGAAAAGAGAAGATGGAAAAGAGGGTGAAGATGGAAAAAATAAAGAAGATGGAAAAGTGGAAGAAGACCAAAAAGAGAAAGGAGATGAAAAAGAGGGTGAAGATGGAAAAGGGACAGAAAATGGCAAAGAGGAAGAAGATGAAAAAGAGGGCGAAAATGGGGAGGGGAAAGTAGAAGATGGCCAAGAATGTGAAAATGAAAAAGATAAAGGTGAAGGTGAAAAACAAGAAGACAGAAAAGAGGAAGGAGATAAAAAAGAGGAAGAAGATGAAAAAGAGGGTGAAAATGGGGAGGGGAAAGTAGAAGATGGCCAAGAATGTGAAAATGAAAAAGATAAAGGTGAAGATGAAAAACAAGAAGACAGAAAAGAGGAAGGAGATAAAAAAGATGATGAAGATGAGAAAGGTGATGAAAATGAGAAAGATAATGAAGATGGAATAGAGGATGAAGATGGAAAAGAGAGTGAAGATGAGAATGATGATGAAGGTGGAAATGAGGAGAAAGATGGAAAAGAGAAAGTAGAAATTGGAAAAGAGGAGGAAAATGGAAAAGGAAATGGGAAAGATAGAAAGGAAAAGGAAAATAAGGCTGAAGTTGAAAAGGAAGTAGCTGAAAAAGAAGGTGTCCAAAAAGAAGTGTCTCAGAGTATTGTTTAAGGCTGTCCTACGTAGTTTCATAATTTGGTAATATGTACCTTCATGTTGTAATGTTAATAGAGATAAATATTTTTATCAAATATTTTATAAACATGTTTTTTCTTTAGCATTAACTGACTTTCAGAATATATTCATACTGATCATTAGCCACGAATTTCTTAACATGAAAACTTTATAAATCTTGTGATTATAATAGAGGAATATATAGAAAAAACATGCTTGAAACTTTGTCAGTAAATTTCCTTTGGGGTAAGTTATGTGTTAAATCTTTGAATTTTACTTCCGTATGTGATAATTTCATAAAGTGGAGAGATCTCAAAAGAAAAATGGTATGTGGTTCTCTAAGTTGCTTTTATGAAGAAGGTGAACTATTTTCATGTAATGTTGAGGAGTTAAAATTATCTTTTCCAAATGTGACTTTAGTAGTAGTTTGGGAAAAAATAAAATTATAATTTCATTTTAAAAGAAATGAAAGTGTTTCTTTCAGAAGGGCAGTTCTGATTATATGTGTATACACAAAAATTTACTGGATTTATCTTAATAAAATTTTTCTTCAAAGATTATTGTGGTTTGTTATATATCCAAAATAATAGTTAATGAAATATTATAATGCTTGACTTTTTTCTATTGGGATATTCATAAAATCATTAAAATTTTTTACACTTACATAAAATAACAACATAAAAGTCAGCATTTTAATCTTTTCAAAGTGTACAATTCATTGGTTTTTAGTATATTCACAATGCTGTACAACCATCACCACAACTCCACACCCACTGTTCCCTGACAAACACTAATTTATTTTCCGTCCCTATAGATTTGCCTATTCAAGATGTTTCATATAAATAGAATCACATAATATATGCCATTTTATATGTGACTTCTTTCACTGGGCATGTTTTCAGTTTCATCTCTGTTGCAGCATCCTATATAATAAAGAGGTAGTATGCAAATTGGCCACCACGCCCTCACACAAGATGACCGTCTCCATGTGGGCACAAGATGGCCACCCCTGTGTGATCAAAAGATGGCCACCACAAGATGACTGGCAGGGCAGGGAAGTTGTGGGGACCAGGCTGGCAGAGGAGGGCAGTTGGGGGAGACCTGTCCTGCAGGGGAGGGAGGGCAGTTGGAGGGTATCAGTCCTGCAATGGCCAGCAGGGGATCAGGCAGACAGGCAAGTGGTTGGGAGCCAGCAGTCCCGGATTGTGAGAGGAATGTCCGACTGCCAGTTTAGGCCCATTCCCAAGGGGTCCCAGATTGGAGAGGGTTCAGACTGGGCTGAGGGACACCCCCTCAGTGCACAAATTTTGTGAACTGGACCTCTAGTATATTATAATTGCATTCATTTTTATGGCTGAATAATATTATATTGCACCAAAATACTACATTGTTTGTTGATGGACATTTGAGTTGTTTCCATGTTTTGTCAATTATAAATAACTAGAGGCCCAGTGAAAGAAATTTGTGCATTGGTGGGGGGTGTTCCTCAGCTCAGCCTGCACCCTCTCCAATCTGGGACCCCTCGGGGGATGTCTGACTGCCAGTTTAGGCCCTCTCACAATCCTGGACTGTTGGCTCCTAACTGCTCTCCTGCCTGCCTGATTGCCCCTAATCACTTCTGCCTGCCAGCCTGATCACCCCTAACCACTCCCCTGCCAGCCTGATTAATAACTAACTGCTTTCCTGCCAGCCCAATCGCCCCCCAACTGCCCTCCCCTGCCAGCCTGATCTCACCTTAATTGCCCTCCTCTTCCTGCCTGCTCAGTCCCAACTGCCCTCCCCTGTTGGCCTGATCTGGCTCCCAACTGCTCTCCTCTGCAGGCCTGATCTCACCCCAAACTGCTAGCCAATTTGGTTCTGATTGGTCTGTTTCTATGCCAGTCAGCGTCAAAAGCTCTGCCTCCTAGGCAGCCATTGGCTCCTCAGAGTTCACCCAGATTTGGTTCTGATTGGTTCATTTCTATGCCAGTCAGCATCAAAAGCTTTGCCCCCTAGGCAGTCATTGGCTCCTCACACTTCACCCAGATTTGGTTCTGATTGGTCAGTTTCTATGTCAGTCAGCATCTCTGGGCCTATCAACAGGGCCTGATCAGAAAGGCGGGGCTGATCAGCAGCTCTGGTGGAGGCCTGGAGAGAAATGGAGGCACGGCTACTGGAGAGAAAGATAGAGGCAAGTGCTGATCAACAGCTGCCACAGAGGCTATGGATCAGACCCTGCTTCTCTCTTCAGGCCTCTCTCTGGGCCTGATTCACAGCCTCCTCAGCAGTCAGTGCAGGGTCACTATGCCTGCAGCCGCAGCAGTCAGCATTGGGTCACCACAGTAGGACTGACTTCCAGTTGGTCAAGCTTCCAGTCCTGAGGGATCCAGGGTTTTTATGTATTAGGATGCTGCTATGAACATTCATATGCAAGGTTTTGTGTACACATTTGGTTTCATTTATCCTGGGTATATAGTTAGGAGTGGAACCACTGGTTCATATAGTAGTACTATGTTTAACTTTTTGAGAAACTTTCAGACTATTATCCAAAGTAACTTTAGCATTTTATATTCGCACCAGAAATATGAGGATTCAAATTTTTCCACATCCTTGTCAACACTTGTTATTGTCTACCTTTCTATTATAACCATACTAGTAAGGGACTTGACGGTGACCATAATCATAGTGATTTTGATTTGCATTTTTCTAATGAAATTGAGCATCTTTTGCACTTTTGGCCATTTGTATATCTTTTTTTTTTTTTTTGCCAGGTACTTCTTCCCTTGTTTTATTTTTTTTATTTTTTTTAAATTAAATCTTTATTGTTCAGATTATTACATTTGTTCCTCTTTTTTCCCCCCATAACTCCCTTCCTCCCAGTTCCCGCCCCACCCTCCGCCCTCACTCCCCACCCACTGTCCTCATCCATAGGTGCACGTTTTTTGTCCAGTCTCTTCCCGCATCTCCCACACCCCTTGCCCCCCCCAAAATAGTCAGTCCATTCCCTTTCTATGTCCCTGATTCTATTATGATCACCAGATTATTTGTTCACTTGATTCTTAGATTCACTTGTTGATAGATGCGTATTTGTTGTTCATAATTTGTATCTTTACCTTTCTCTTCTTCTTCCTCTTCTTAAAGGATACCTTTCAGCATTTCATATAATACTGGTTTGGTGGTGATGAACTCCTTTAGCTTTTCCTTATCTGTGAAGCTCTTTATCTGACCTTCAGTTCTGAATGATAGCTTTGCTGGATAAAGTAATCTTGGTTGTAGGTTCTTGGTATTCATCACTTTGAATATTTCTTGCCATTCCCTTCTGGCCTGCAAAGTTTCTGTTGAGAAATCAGCTGACAGTCATATGGGTACTCCCTTGTAGGTAACTGAGTTTCTTTCTCTTGCTGCTTTTAGGATTTTCTCTTTGTCTTTTGCTCTTGGCATTTTAATTATGATGTGTCTTGGTGTGGTCCTCTTTGGATTCCTTTTGTTTGGGGTTCTCTGCGCTTCCTGGACCTGTAAGTCTATTTCTTTCACCAGGTGGGGGGAGTTTTCTGTCATTATTTCTTCAAATAGGTTTTCAATATCTTGCTCTCTCTCATCTTCTGGCACCCCTATAATTCAGACGTTGGTACGCTTGAAGCTGTCCCAGAGGATCCTTACACAATCTTCATATTTTTGCATTCTTTTTTCATTTGGCTTTTCTGGTTGGGTGTTTTTTGCTTCTTCGCATTTCAAATCTTTGCCTTGATTCTTACGCTCCTCTGGTCTGCTGTTGGGGGTCTGCACAATATTCTTTATTTCAGTCAGTGTATGCTTAATTTCTAGTTGGTTCTTTATCACAATATCGAGGGTCTCATTAGGTTTCTTGAGGATCTCACTACATTTATCGGCGGTCTCACCAGTCTTTTCGAGGGCCTTACTAAGTTTATCGGCAGCTTCTAGACAGTTCTTGAGAGACCTTAAAAGTGTGGTTCTGAACTCAATATCCTCCATTGACAGTTTTGTCCTGTTTCTTTGTCTCCGCATTTTTTATGCTTTCTTGGTGCACCCCCTCGTGGTCTTTGTGCACAGTCTTGTTGTAGTTAAGCCTTGATTGTTGTCGGGGGTGATTTGCCCTCCAGGCTAACTGGCTATGAGAGTCAGCTGTGTCTGCAGTGGGAGAGCTTCTGTGCTGGATCTCTAGGGCGGTGCTAATCTAGCGTTTGCCTGCGGCTATCCGGCAAATGGCTCTGGGCAGGGCTTGGACGGGTCGGGTCCCAGGGGATCTACAGGGTAGGTGGAGGGAGCAGTTATGGCTGCTCTCAGTTCTGTCCCTAGGGGCTTTGCCTCACTGAGTCCCAGCAACCGCCGCAAACCTCGGAGAGAAAGCTGCCTTCAAGTTCCGCCCGAAGCCAGACAGTCCCGTTTCTCGCGTTTGAGTCTGGGTCCCTAGAGACTCGGCCGGCTCTGGAGCTCAGAGTCTGAAGCTCCCTCCCGATTGAAAACAACAACCGCGCCCTCCGCGCCGCCAGCCCGCTCCGCGCGCACTCCGCACCTGAGAATTTCACTTCAGCACTGCGCCTCCTCTGAGTCTGGGTATGATATTCTCTTTCCTTCTAGTTGTAGAATTTCCACTCAGCCAGCCTTCCTGTGGTTCTGGATGATGTCCGTTCCATCTTTTAGGTGTAATTTGAATTGGTTGTTCGAGGCAGCAATCTCCGGCGTTAACCTATGCCGCCATCTTGGTTTCTTTTCCCTTGTTTTTCATTTGTATATCTTTTTTAAAGATATGTCTAGAAAGCTTTTGCCCATTTTTACTTAGATTGTCTTTTTAGTATTAGGTTGTAAGATTGTGTACATTTTGGATATGTCTTCTGTCAGATATAATGATTTGCAAAAATTATCTCCCAGTTTATGGTTTGTCTTAACATTTTTATAATGTCATTTGATGCACCAAAGTTTTTAATTTTGATTAAGTACAATTTATCCACTTTTTCTTATGTTGCTTGTGATTTAGTGGCATATAAGCATCTGCTTCCAAACAGCAGGAGACATATATGTTCACCCATATAAAGAGTGTTATTTATAGTTTAATCTCTTACATTTAAGTCTTTGATATGTTTTGTGTTAAATTTTGTATATGTTGTAAAATAGGGGTCTGACTTCATTCTTTTACATGTGGCTATCCATTTGATCAAGGATCATTTCTTAAAAAGACTATTTCTCCATTGGGTAGTCTTGACACTCCAAAAATCAATCGCCTACAGATGGATTTCTTTCTGGACTCAATTATGTACTATTGATTTATATGTCTATTTCTATGTCAGTACCACACTTTTGATTACTGTAGTATCAAAGTATATGTTCTCCAACTTTGTAATTGATTGTTCAGGGTCACATTTCCATATGAGTTTTAGGATCAGCTTATTTCTACAGAAAAAAAAAAAGTCAGTTTGAGTTTTGATAAGGACCACAGATAAATTTGGGGAACATTGCCTTAGTATGAAAAGTATCCTCTAATCCACGAATATGGGATGTATTTCCAGTTTTTAGGATTTCTAATTTCTTTTAGCACTATTTTGTAGTTCTTAGGGTGTAAGTC